AAGGAAGGAAGGAAGGAAGGAAGGAAGGAAGGAAGGAAGGAAGGAAGGAAGGAAGGAAGGAAGGAAGGAAGGAAGGAAGTTTTCAAGATCTTTATTAAGAGTTTGATCATTATCTTCAGTACAATTATGATCAAAATCATAATCTTACTAAAATTAACCTGAAGGACATGATTTTTTTTTCACCATTTGGAAAATCACTTTTATGCTTAAAGTTGACCTCATCCCCTATAGATTGTCCCATCTATTATATCTATTATGTTTGTAATCACATGCTTGCAAGTCGGAACATTGGCACCCTTTACTTGACATGCATTTCAAAGAGATGGTCATGGGTTTCGCTCATGCAACAAATCTACTCAATGTTGGCTGTGGCAGATGGCTCAGTTCTGCTGCAAGTTTCTTTTCGAATATTAGTCCTTTCCACACTATGTTTCCTCAGAGTTTAGAGTTGCTGCAAAGTCAAAGACTAGATGCAATCTACTTTATTGGCAAAGAACTTTTTTTTTTACTTTTTAACTTGCAAAGTTAAATCTTAACTGACATAAATCGTACAGTTCTTGCAAACTTCAATTGCACCTTTTTTTCTTGTAAAAACATACTTCAAACCTAAACAGATAAGTAAATTTGGATATTATGCATTATCAAATACACTATATGTCATTAACGTTTTACTGGCAGCAATGCTGGTCAACACACCAAGGCTTCACCACCGGTAAGTGAAAATGGGGACGGGCACTTAGGACGGACTTTTGTAAACACATCACCAGAATGATTGACGATTAGAAGGACTACTTATTTTGATGATCCACCCGGAAATAGAAGATCCTCCACTATACCTTTAAACTAATACAATAACAGCGACTGTAGATTTTTTTATGTCCTCCCTAAGCATGCAATGGTTCTATCGGGACAGTCTGGCCTCCCCCTCATAAGTTGCCCTTATGATTATAAGCTTGCATGGTATTTTTTATTTATTTATTTTTTCTCCCTGTGTTACTCTGTAATGCTTTGGCTGGGCTGAACTTTGCCGGATCTGATGAATGACAGTTGGTTTAGGAAGGAAGGAAGGAAGGAAGGAAGGAAGGAAGGAAGGAAGGAAGGAAGGAAGGAAGGATCTTAAAGTGGTTTATGTTGAAGAATATGCAATTACTTGATTAGGTTGTCAATTGTTGCACATGTCTGGTGCATCCTTCTTGCTAAAACTTTGCAAGTTTCAAATTTGTTTGTCCTTTTAAGATGAAAAGTGAACCATATTACATAAATGATGAAAAAAAGGATTTCTTTGAAAGCGTGTTAAGGTAAATGAGGTGGCAAGCAACTAGCGAAGGTCACGTTTTCCCCTGTTTGCTGTCTAGGAAACTTAAAATAAAGGCCCATATTTTTATAGACGTTTCCTTTGGAACGGTAAGGAGGAGGTCTCGAGGCAGTTTGATTGACGGACGTTTAAGCCAATAGGGGCGATGGGATATCGCAGTAGGGGCGGGGCGAGTTGTCAAAGCCGTTTCCCAGATTAGTCTGGGGTTCTGAGAACTAAGGTCACGTTTCCGCTGTGGCTGCCATCAAACTTTAGTTAGCTGTTTTTCTGTTCTTACACCGAGAGCCGCCGCTATGTCCAATAACAACGCCAGCAGCAACTTAATCATCGCCCAGAGGGCCGTGAAGCAGCTCCGGTTAGAGGCCAGTACTCGGAGGATCAAGGTACGAACCGATCCAGACAAACACGGAAGCTTTTCTTTCGAGGCGTAGAAAGTTAGTTTAGGTGGAAAAAGGGGATTATGTTAAAAATAGATCTATTGAACTGCTTTAAAACAGTAACTTATAAAGTTTCCAATCTGCTTTGTTTACAATCTAGCTCTACTTTAAAGTGAAATGTGTATAAATGTCAAACTCTGTTTTATCTGAGGGAAATAAGTGAACATAGAGGCTATCAAACATAGTAGATACAACCACTGCTGTCCGGTGGCTCCATTGCTTGCAAATATTATGCAAAAGAAATATCAAACCCACAGAGAGCCAGTTAGTCTGTGTATGAAAATGAGAAAATGGGCAGAGCCCTTTGAGACCGAGTGGATGTTTATGCTGTTCATGTTTTCACACCCACGCCATATGTTGGGTTCTGCAGGTGTCCCAGGCTGCTGCTGACCTGAAAAACTTCTGCCTGCAGAATGCATCCAAGGACCCGCTCCTCATGGGGGTCCCCTCCAGCGATAATCCCTTCAGACCCCCAAAGTCTTGCTCACTGTTCTAAGGTAAGAAGCCTTGACAAAGTCTTTATTAGGACCAATGTGGACCTAAATGTCACCTTCACATTCTGTTTGTACATTATCCATAAAACTAGTTTACAGGTGGAGCGCAGGGTTTATGCTTCATAGTCCATAAGACCACAAAGGTTGACAGTAAGCAATATAACTGACAGTTACGATCGGCCCCGCTGCACCCGCGGGCTCCGGCATTGCGGTGGCTGGGGAATTTGTCTCTTCTCCTCCCTTGGTGGGGGTCGGAATTCCTGGGTTGGGCCCTTTGCTCTTGGGGTCCCTTTGGGTGTCTGGGGCTTTGGGTCCCCCAGCGCTCGCCTCTGTGCTTTGGAGGGGCACGTCTTCGGCTCTTCACAACCGCTATTGAGCATTTTTCATTTGAATAAACTTTACATGCACAAGTGTACTCTCACAAACAACTAAAAGTGCTTGGCTCCTGATTCACTTCCATACAGAAAGCCAATATTCTTATCTTCAGCTACCACAGTAAACGTGTCAGAATAAATCATACTACTTATACTTCAGCAATAGTATCCAGGTGTTACTTTATTGTATGTCTTGTACCGTGTCCGTTGGTTGTGCTTTTTTGGTTTGTGCTATCTTTTTGCAGGCGACGAAGCAGACTGAAGACGTTTTATCGTTATCTCCCTTTTATCTTCTTTCTTCTTTTCTCCTTTTTTTCTGTTTTTCCTTTCCTGTTGTACTTACATTGTAGTGTCCATATAATCTGTAAAACACCCTGCATAATTATAATGAAGCTATTTATATGCATAAATCAAGCGGAACACTATGGCGATAGCCGTAATGCTCCACTTGTGAAAGCAAAATCTGTTGGGCTCTTTTTGGCATCAGGACAATTATTCTTATTGCCAAACAGGACACTGCTTAAAAAAAAAAAAAAAAGAAGAAAAAAAAACTGAAAGTTACAATCAAAACAGATCATTTAATAACATTGTTATTATACGTTATATATTTATTAAATGATGGACTGATTCAATTGCTGGATTGCTGCTGTGTGGCTGCTAAACTATCAGCTGTTTGCTGGTGCTTCTCAATAAATTACAATAGAACGGTGTGGTTAGTTTATTTCTACGGTTCGATTTTAAATGCAAAACTCCAACATAGATCGTATCACAGAGATGTGCTTCCTGAGCGTGATGCCTAAGGAGAGAGTCAGCAGGTCATTGGGGCTGCAACTAATTTTGCACTCCTATTAATCTCTCCATTTCTTTTTTTCAGTTAATCAATTAAGAATCAGATGGTGAAAGGTTCCTTAAGAAGATTTTAAGCAAAATTTAAACCAAGTGAAACTAAAACTGTGTCTTTTAAAGACTTATAAGTCGAGCATATTAATGGACAAAAAGGGTTTTCCATTTTGAATGAAAAATATTTATGTATTTTCTGCAGTTTTGGTATATTAACTGCTTTGAGTGGGCGAGTCTTTCAGATAAAGTAAAGACATGTTTTGGAGTCTTTATCGATTATTAAATTAGCTGATGATTGTTTAAATTGTTTAAGCTTTACAGTTCATCTATAAACTGTTAGGTGTTCACAGCTCTGACCACTTGCTTCTAGCTTAAAGCTAACTACATAATGACATTTCAGTTTCAAAATTGCATTGGTCCAATGCAAGCTGAACGTTAGAATGGACATTTCGGCTTACTGAAAGTAAGTCCACAATACAATAGATCTGCTGTTCAGTGTAAGAATGGTATTTAATACTTAGTCCTCCTAGCAATAGCTTGCTTTGATGGTGACCTTGAGGTTAAGTGTGCTGTTTATCATTTTCATCTTAACAGCTGCATAGATTCTAGATAGATTTCTGTGTGGCCAATCAAACAGGTTGATGATGGTCCAAAATGTCCTGGTGGATGACCATGTTGATTATGGGTTTCGGAAAACCCAGTGAACCACCACCAGCAGATGTCATGTCAGGCCAGCCATCTCTGACTGTTCATGATGGACTTCGAGCCTTGTGGATTCTATGCCTCTCCGCGCTTCTTCCTGACTTTTGGAGCTTGATTTCCAAAAGAAGTGCCAACTTTGCAATTTGTACAACTGACCAACAGTCTAGTTGGAAATAACATTATTTCAATACTGATCTTGTTTTTTTTCTTTTTTTAGATTTTATAAATCTTGTGCCATCATCAGCTGTATCCATAATCACAAAAAAGGAAGTCAAAATAATGAACTACATATTGGTTTGTCTGTAAAGAGTTTGAATTTCGCAAGACGAATTATATAAGTAAAGTAAATCTACTTTAAGATATTCAAGACTGTCTAATCGGATCACATTTGAAAAGTTTATTTAGGATTTAAAGTGTTTCGGTTGCCATGACTAAGCAAATTTACCAATAAAGGTGACAATTGAGCAGTATCTCTAAAAGATTCTTTTTAAGTAAAATTGTTGGTAATGAAAGAAAAAAACACTCATTTGTGCAAGCTACCAACTTTACTTTGCCAGTGCGTATTTTATTTATTTTCAAATCATGAAGTTTTTTTCTGTGCATGTTTTTGCAGATGTTTATTGCCCTGACGCTCAGGAGGAACATCAGTGTTTCCACCTTGCTTTCTATGACAACAATAAAATCCTCCCAATAATACATCTGAATACATGCACATTAGTTTATGAGTTATAACTGTTTATTAAATAAGGTTGTTTAGCAGTTCTGTACTATCATATTTTTTTGCTCGTGTGCAATGTCATACAAAACAGGAAATCTTACAAACCGCTTCCCTCTTGCCAGATTAGGGCTGTATATGTGGAAAGTGTGAAGACATGTTGGTTCAAAGTTTTGTAATTTGCTCTAGCAGCAATGGGTGCGGGAAATGTCCAACCTGCTGTCTAGAGAGTTATGTGTGCAGGTTCCAAATAAAACATAATTTTTTTTCAGATGGAAGGGTTTTGCCCTGTTTTGGCAAAAAAGCGTTCATAACTAAATGAGGCTGGAATACAGTTTGTTTTGTGGTGTTGGCGCTTATTTAACAGAAGACAGGCAGAAAATAGGGGAAGGGGGGCATGCAGCAAAGGTCTTTGTGTCGGGATGCAATGCAGGACGGATAAGGAAGGACTAAGGGTTGTGTGAACTTCCTATAAGATGAATCAATCTTTTTATGTGGTCTCTGTTCTCTCTTAGCAGCAGAAGGAACATGAAGGATTTTCTGGACCTGTCCGTTGAAGCTTCACTTCTCTTCTCATCGACTTCATGGTAAACCTGCCTGCAGCTCCTCATGGGAAGGGAGGGAGAGCCGATTTCCATCTTGTTTGCCAAAACTAATGGTATCCTATCCCCCATCTGTTACGTGAAAGCATGGCCAAACTACTCAACAAGCAAGCAGAAGACGTTCCTGACACTAACGTGACTAATGATTAATCTGGGTTTGCCTAAGTGCCCAACATGTCCGGCATCTATTTACAGACTGTTACCACTGTTTGTTATTTTCAGTCGTGTTGTGAAGGGCAGGTGGAAGGATAATCAAACATGGATTTATCATAGCTTATCTTCCATCCACACTTTTGTATTTATCTCTGTGAAACACAACAACAAAAACAAAAAAAACTACTAATATTGTTGGCCAACAAACTAAACTGGTGCCTTTTTCAATGTTTGTGTATATAAGCGGAAAATAAACTGGTTTTGTGGACCTTAGGTACTAAGGCATGACACAGGCTTTATCTTTGGAGCAAGCGATGGGTTAATCTTTCATTTTCTTGTTACTTTAACTCACCTATCTATAGCTATATTTTAGACTCTTTTAAGTTTCTCTTTCTTTATGTCGAATCTTTCTATTTAAGGTAAAAACACATGATGGCCTTACACTATGTGGATTAGTGGTAACAACCTTAACTTATTGCACAAATCCTTGTGTCTGTGTTGGAATCCTTGGGTTATGTTTGTATTTAATGTTTTTTTTTTCACGCTGGAATCAAGCATCAATCAACCAAAAATCTTTCCTGCTGATGAAGAAATCTGTCTTTTCAGACACTGATGAATTGCTGCATCTAACTTTATATACATATATATAAAAAAAAAGTGTATCAAAAACTATTGTTAAAGCATTACTTTATAATTGCTGACTGCTTTTTCAAAGACAGGAAGTGAGTATTTAATTAAAAGGTGCGTTTAATTTGGTGCTTTTCCACTTATGTAATTTGTGTGAAGTTATTTTTAAGTTGGATGTAGATTTGAAAAGTGGATGTCATTTAATTGTGAATTGGATTGGATCTTTTTTTGTGAAGGCAAACTGCTGGATTAAATGTGTTTAATATTCTCACATCCCATAATCTGCACAAAGAATAACTCTTACCTGTCAGCTTGATTTGTGATAAATGCATCATGTTTGTATGGAAGGAAATAAATAAAAATGTATACAAGCAAAATGGATTGTGTCCTGATTACTGTCTAATAAAATAAAGCTTTAAAGCAGTATTCCTAATGGTTAGGGGAAGACTGGAATATGACTAAAGTATTTTCAAAGTCTATGTCTATCCATCCAAATACAGAGGATGTTTGTTTATACAGTATATCTATGTATCTGTCATTCCTACGTGTTTTTTTAAGCTGAACACTAGTACTCCCTGCCCTAACCTCACAAGGTTTTGGAAAAGGGCTAAATTGGACTGAGCATTCTGGTAAACTGATTCCAGAAAAAGGATGGGAGTTTCCTATATATGTGGTGGGCTTACCCTGTGAGGGAGTTCAGCTGATGCCACATGCTGATTTCATGTGAATCTCCCAAGTTAAAGCTGTTTCAGCGCTTCACACACAGTGGAAAATGCTGACTCACAGAGCCGACTGGCTCGTTATGAGGGTCATTTGCTGGACATTTCAGAGATTTTGTTTATAGGAATTGGATGTTTTTTTTGTCCCCAATTAAATTTGTGGGCAGTTTGTTTGTGTAATATCCAAAAAATTATCATTGAATTGTGGGCTGGAACAAACTAGGCTGCTCACCGGAAAAAATAAACTGCACTGGAGTCAAAACACTGACGCCATTTACAGAAGGGGGCCGTCTTTTAGGAGCAGTTTGAAGGATCAGTAGCTTATCTAAAGTAAAATTCAAAGGGTGAGGAGAGTCATGATACTCCTGTTTTCTTTTTTGGTTCCTTTTAAATAATCACAATAGCTTTCACTTTTTGAGGCATTTTTATGCTGAAGTTCTTAACACAAGTATTACTATTGAGTACGTCGTCCACCACTGAGTGTACATTTAACCACTGTATATTTTGGACAAAAATAAGTAAGAATAACTCAAAATGAGACGTGGTTGTCCAAATGTTAACTGGAACCTTTTTAGGAAATTGTTTGCTCAATTAAATCCAAACCTGGCTCACTTAGGGGCCGTCCATTGTCAGTAATCAGCAGAAGCGCTGTCACCTGGAAATAAAAGAAGCAGCAGCTGTCAGCTGAACAAGTCTGACTGCTAATGACTAGAAATACACACGGGGTGAATCAACATAAAAAGTATGTGGTTGTATTTTTTTGATCACTTGGCTGGGTTTATAGGTTTTATGTGTTTAAAATCATGTTTCTGATTGTGTGTTTTATTTTTGGATTTAGATGGCGTACAGCTATATCAGCCAGAATAAACTCAGTGGAAAGCAGGAATGTTCCGGTTAGGCTCGCATTTTTATTATTCAAACCTGTAATTCACATAGAATGGTAAAATAAGCTATTACTTATTTTTCATTCTATGTGCCAAATGGATAATCTTATTCTCTTTATCTACACTTTACACTAAATATTATCAAATGTTCAACTTTCTCTTTTTCATGTTTTGGTTTAAAACAAGCAGGAGGTCTATTTTTTCTGAGAGATCCAAGCTCCTCTCCAAGCACCTCCTGGTTGTCTAACGGACAGGACAGTAAAGACCAGGCAGACTCCCTCAGGGTGGGTAAAAAAAATGATCAACTAGATACCAACTTTGTGTTTTGCAAAACCTGTTAATTTTGGGGGTTTTTGTCATTCCACAATCTTTAATGTTGTAAAAGTTGAAATGGAGAAAAAAAAAGCATAGTTTCTGAAAATTGTGGTGCATGTTTGTATTTGGTGCTGTAAGTGCCAACCTTCTAACCTGACTCCGCCAGATGCATTTGCTCCGCATATCCATCTGGAAACCTTCCGTTGAAGTAATTTTGGGAAGGGGCGAAAATACTGGTTAGCTGATTGGCCTATGTTGGTGATAGACGGGCCAAATAAACCAATCAGATCAACGAAGCATATGACGTACTAACAGCCAGGCTACTCTTGCCGAAACCAGTCGGGAGAAGAGCAAAAACATCTTTTCCTCTGAGAAAAGCCTCCAGAGCAGTGTTTTTCTCTTCTTTCAGTGAAGAAATACTCTGTAATTCTGATAAAACTTGCTCGATAGCCACTCTAACGCTAGTTTCATCGGCTGAAGCCGCCATGTTCTTTAGACTGAACTGTTGTGCTTCTCGTTGCGTCACACCTCAACCCGCCTCAAAGCCAACGCTGTTTGGACGTTCGTTTGGTGAACGGCTCCAAATTTTCTTCAACGGAGAGTAGCCAGACTGATCTGCGAGGGAAATCTTGAAAGCTTGCGAGATCAGGATGGTCTCGCGACGCTACCAACCTTCTACTTAAATTACTGGTGTGTGTTTTCTGGTGTGTGTTCTCTAGCTTTGCGCATCAAGACATTGAGTTGTTTGGGGATTTGTCTCCTTTGCAGAATAGTGAAAGCTCAGTCAAGAGTCAATTTTTAAGTTTTGCCACAGATTCTGAGGTGGATTTAGTTCTGGACTTTGACTGCCATTCGATCAGCATATGCATAGGTGTTGCATTGCTTTGATCCAAACCAGGTCTGTCAACATCGTAGATCAGCCTCCTGTATATTTTTTATGTGCCAGTGGTCAACTTAAAACCAAGTTAAGTCTCCTCATGAAAAATTCCAGTTCCAAGCTTATAGTCCCCTGGTTCAGTTTTGAGTCCTGCAGATGTTTTGAGTTTGACTCGTATCTTCTAGGCACAGTGTCCTTTAAGATTCGGATAGGTCGCCGTCTCAGCAAAACCAGTTCAACTGTTTGCACCACATGTTCAGTATGTCATAAAGTCCAGCAGGTGCCTAAAGCACATTGGACAGTGGGGTCTGAGGGCCAAGATTGGATACTTTTAAGGCTAAACTCAGAAGTCGGTAGCTCTGGCTGCATGTAAAGTGTTGCTTTTCCATTCAAAGGCGGCGCTTCACCCTGGCCTCGTATGGTTTTAAGCTTCCAACATGTTTTCTCCAACATGGGGGGGGGGGACTTGTTTACTTTCTAGATTTCTACTCTATAATCTTGTCATCATTCTGTTTGTGTATAAAGCAACATTCCAATAACATGCCATAGCATTTATTTTCAGTCAAAGAATATGAGCAGGCAAATGTCTCATCTTGCAGGAGCAGCTCGGGGAGATGGATGAGCATATGGCCAGGCTTCAAAGAGATCTAAGATCTGAGCGTACAAAAGTAAGGCAACAGTTTTTTTTTTGTTTTTTTTTAGAGGAACAGGATAACTTCTTGAATGAGCCTCCTCTGATCAGCATTTTTCTTTCTCAGTGCTCCCGTCTGCAGCTGCAGTGCAACCGGCAGGAGGCGGAGCTAAAGCGCAGAGAGATGCAATGCAATAGACTGAAGGAGAGGCTCTCACAGCTCACTGACAGACAAAGAGACAGAGGACCATGTGAGACTCCAGAATAATTTCACACATAATGATTTAAAAACGGTATTTATGGTTTGGCAATTATTTTTTAATGCAGCTATAGAGGTCTTAAACCTCCCTCCTGGAAACAGAGGGAAAAATGGGCAACCCAGGAAACCAATCAGGTCTACTGCCAAGTATGTAGACTAGCTTTTAAAGCTCTATGTAGTATGCCTGGATTCATCAGCACCGTTCAGACTGTAGTTCTGTCACCTTACAGGCGAGAAGAAGCTGCACTGCTCCTGATGCTGGACCGCAGAGAGGCAGAGCTGAGAGAGGCGATGAAGCTGCGCCACAGTCTCACCACTTTGTTGCATGCACTCAGAGTCGACATGGAGCAGGTCAGAAAAGGGATGATTGACTGACATCTTTGGGTCATTCTAGAAAAGGTTACTTAAACAATTAAAGAGCATTTAGGTTGGATGTAAAGCAGTTATCAGCACTGAATTAAAGTACAATGTGGTATGTAAAATAAGATTAAGATCAACACATTTATTTATTTTATACATTTTTAAAAAATTAATTCTTGCTGTTTTTGGAAATAGAATTTTCAATTTAACCCCTTGTTTACTGGTAATGAGAAATGTTTTTAAGTGCTAAAAGAAAATAATATTTCTGATCTCAGCATGATGTGAGAGAACAAACCAACATTGTTTTTATGTCTAGACCCAAAACTGGTCCAATTCAGTTTACACCAGTTCAGTTCAACCCAACCATGTAGTGTAATTTGGACCTATCAGAATATCTCAAAATAAAGTGGTATTTTTGGAGAATTCATTTCATTACAGTAGTTAAATCCAGAAATGGTCCTTTAAGATTGATGACCATTTTTAGATTAATTAGATCAAAATGGCATGAAATGTTAACAGTCAATATAACACATACATTTAATAAACAAATTATGTATTTTGGATTATACATTGTTACCTACTTTTATTTCAAGCTTTAAAGTCATTCACATAACAGGCTAGATAAATCATTAAGTTTTTGTCATACAACCAATTAAAGAAATTAAATTATAACCCGCAAAATTAATTTTCAGTGTTCCGTTCAATCTGATTAATTAAAGCAAATATGTGGAGGTGGGTATTATTTTTCATTAATTTAGAATGTTTCATCATACAGGGAACGTGTCATATCAACTAAAATGCATGTGCATGCTGAATATGTGCTCTGTTGCATGAATTGTTCCGACCTAGAGGAGTTGGGTAGGTGGCTCCCCTGGAAGCCCTGGTTGCTTTCATAGCACCCTACATTTTAACTTCTTTCTTTGGTGTCCCTTGAGAATAGCCCTTACATTTCTATGTTCCTTTTGGGATTAGTTCAGGCACGTTTGCAACGCAGTCAAGCACAGTGATACTATGGTTACTTAAATTGATAATCCAGCCCAACATAAACTTTATGCATTCTTAAATGGCCTGTGAAACATGACTCTTAAGTGTCTGAAAATGATGCTTGTGCATCATTTTCAGACACTGTTTTTTTTATGTCCTTCCAGACACCTTTTTATGAATCTGCTTGCATACAGCTCTCTCTGAATAGTCTGTTTGACTGTACAGAGTCCTGCATATAAGCACCAAGGCTTATACTCGATGACTGCTCAAAAACAAATCCATCTTCCCAATGAAAGTATAGGCAATACATTCAATAAATTATATTTTTCTTTATGCCTAGCAAAACTTACATTTTGGTTTTCATTAGCTGTAGCCACAATTAACATGTGGCTGTTGTTTATACATTACTGTGCAATAATCAACTGTAAAATGATCAATAACATTTTTGATTGTGATTTTAGATGTGCCTGTAAATCAAAATGTGATTCAAGAAAACCAAAGTCACTCTAACATAAGTTTAATTACAAAATTGGAAAAACAAAATGTCTATATTGCTGTACTTGATGTCTGCTTGCTGGGAAGCTGTAACCCTTGATGGTGCAAGTGAGCTGATTTGACAGTTATAGGCAGAGTCTTAACGTCAAGAGTTTCTGCCTACAGATCAACACTGGGAGTTGGTTCCATAGTGGAGGAGCTTAAAAACAAAAAGATCTGCCCTCCATTCTACTTTAAAATGCTCTAGAAACCGCCACTAAGGCCTGCAACAGTTGGACCTAAGAATATTTAGAAGCTTTCTTAATGAGAAAAGAATACCTTTTGGTTTTAAAAGAGAGCCAGAAGCGAGAAATCAATATTGGGATAAAAATGGGGCTTAATTTGTGTCATTACTCTAAACCCTTTTGAAGTGGCTGGAGTTTCTGGATGTCAATGATGGAGACAAAAAGCTAGATGAAACTGAAGCAGTCCTTGGTGAACACGTGACTGGAGGAGTCGTTCAGAGCTGGAGGCTGGTGCAGCAGAAGCTAAGAGGCATCTTTTCTGAAGGTGAACACACCACAATAAGTCTTTGAAACAAAAAGTAAAAAAATGACTATAAAACGACTGTCAACAGATCAAACTGCTGCTGGTACTGACCACGATAAGCTTCTGGCTCAGCTAGAGATGGAACTGAAGGAAAGTAAGGAGGTGGTCAGATTACAGCAGCAGCTTCTACAGGTATCAGTCCCTTTTTCTTCAAAGTGTACATGAGCTCTCACTGTAACACAACAGTTTACATCACTTTTTTTTCACCACAGTGTTTTTTGTTTTGTTTTTTTCCCATCAGTGTTATAACTGCTGCTTACCTTTATCAAGGCTGCACTTTAAAAATGAAGAAGTCTAGAGAGCTGTACTAAATCAAAATTCTTTTTATATACATTTATGTGTACAAAATGACAAAATAAAATCTAAGTCTAACACCTGCTCTTGTTGCTTCTGCTAGGATAGCCTTGTCTCCACGGTCCCATCTGAACTCTCAGATTCTTACTTTTTGGAAGAGTGGGAACGTCTTCAGATGTCCTGGGCAGAGTTGACTCATCAGAGGAGAACTTTTGAAAGGGAACGGAAAGCTTTCACAGACGCTGCAATTCGACTGAGCCACGAGGTACAGTAAAACAGGTTCTCATCACTTCTGGAGTTGAACCCAAAACTGGCATCTGATGCTAAAGTTTTTTTTCTTTTAACGTCTTTTAACAAGCGACGAGATTTTGAACAACAAAGGAACTTGTTTTTGAAGCAGCAGTATCTAAGCGACTCACCCGTGTTTAATCGAGGAGCATCAAACAGGAGGGAGAGCACCGCTTTCAGTGAGTAAGGGTTAAACATGCCTCCATCTATATGCATATGAAAGGGTGCTGGATGAAGGTGCAGGCGGAGACTTCCCTGCTGGTTGTTCATTTGTGTCCTTTCTTCCATTTCACTGTTTGAGGGATGAACTAGAAATTAAACTAAAGATAACATTGATGGTCTATAGCATTTTTATAAAATCTCTCCTGGGTGCAGATTTCTCCAGTGAGGGAGGAACTAATGTATCTGGCTGTCTACCCATTACTCCCTCACCAAGCAACTCTGGGAATGCAGCTTCTCCTGGATTACATGAAGAAAGGGTCAGAGTTCAAACCCCGAGCACGCCGCAGCTGTACTCTGCCCTTAATCTACCATACAATAACAGGTTAGTATTTAATCTAGTAAAACTACTAATTTTTTTGACTAATCTAGTAAAAAAGTGGTGCATAATAATAAAGGTCAAGTAACCTCTTTTTTTTTATGTAGGAGCCAACTTTATTCTTTCAGTGGAACCCATTTGCCTTTATTTGCCACATCATTAGAATAGTAGTTGGATTGAGAAATTAAGACATACTTTCTAGTGTACTACAGTTTATTCATATTAAGATAAACTTTATTAATCCCAAAGGGAAATTAAATGTTGCAGTAACTCGTATTTTTTTTTCTTTTTCATTTTCATCCAGGTGTTGTAGGTGTTGTTAGCTGTAGGCAGTAAGGATGTGGGGGATCAGCTGCTGGTCCCCCCCTTCCATTAAAATATGATTCTATTCTCTTTCCTATTTCAGTTTGTTTTATAAAGACACACAGTATTAAATTGTTCATGCTAAGCTGAACATTCATAAAACTATGATGTAATTATTCTGGCTGAGAGTGAAATTAGTCTAGAAAGGGATTTGTTTTTAACAGGTGGTGTTTAGGGCAGCCTTGGGTCCAAATCTAGCTGTTGTTGAAGAAGCTCAGTAGTCCATAGCAGCCATATTGTGACGCATGTCAGATATATGAATGTTCTTTGTATTTGCAGAAGAAACAGGAATGTAAAGGAAATTTACAACCACTGCATGTCTCGGCATCACTGTGTTCTAGTGTGCAACAAGGATCTTCTGAAGCGGTCTGTCTTGCACCGGTTCTGAAGAATCCTCTTACTGAAGAGACTCTGTTGTTGTCCATAATTTTGTTTACTTTATGAAGAATAATTCTTTGTGAAATAATCTACAGAGGTTCTAAAGGAGTTCTCAGAACAGAGCTGGCCTTCTTTATTAGCTTGTTAAGCTTTAAGTCATTTTTTTTCGAATACTGTTATCACTCTCCTCAACAGACTTATAGAAGATATGTAGCATCTTGCTGCAAACAGCCAAGGACATAAGCTTCCTTAGGAAGTACAATCTGCTCTGTTCTTCTTGTAGATGGCTTCACAGTTGTGTCTCCAGTTGAGTTTGCTGTCCAGGGGTCTGTTTCAAGAAGCAGGTTAAGTATTTCTAAACTTGAGTTGTGGGAAACTTGAGTTTTCCATCTCACAAAGAGTTTATTCAACCTCTGTTCAGTCACCGCATAACGCCCCTTTCACACTGGCCAGTGTACCGGTTTATACCCGGGAACAATTGGCTTTTATTGGCAGCGGAAACAGTTCACTGATGCGTGTCTATCCAGGTAAAAGGACTCTGCTCTGATAGGCATACTATGAGAACACCAGAGCTGGTGGTCTGTCAGCTGAGCATACCCGGTCAGACCAGCATATCCATAGTCAATACATGTTTATCCCTTTAATTTTGTACGAAAAATAGACTTTAAACTACCATAACGGGCATGTATCCCTTTAGTTGTGTACAAAAAAAATATTTAATTGCTTACTTTTTGGTGTTTTAGGTGTATGGTGATCTGACCTTAAATTGTTTTTGTTTTTTGTACATAACTAAAGGGATACATGCCCGTCAAGGTAGTTTAGTCTAGTTTTTTGTACAAAACTAAAGAGATAAACGCCAATCTGACATCTTGCGCATCGGTATTGACAATAGGGATGCTGGTCTGAGGAAGTATGCTCGTATGACAGAACATCGGGTTGACCCACTAAATTACGCGAAACCATTGAACGCAACGTATGGACGTCTCACACCTAGCTAGTCCCTTCTGATCTAACGATCCAAAACAACTCTGGTAGTTTCTAAATTTGTTTACTTGTGCATTCTCATGTTTTTTTGAAACATCATCAGCCTTAGCCCTAGTACTGCTCCAATTCACAAAAACACAAAACCAAGAACGGACAATGTAGTTCTTGCCCCTCTCTGTTTTCTGAGTTGCATCAAAGCAGACTTGTCTGTTCTTGAGATTGACAGCTGTCCCAGCATGCACCATGGCAGCAGCAGCTTCAAGGTTAGTGCTCACAGTATTAAGTTAAAAGTTATTTTCTGTTGCTTTTGTGCAATAAAAGTACGTTTTAAGATAATTTGAGGGAAGAACATTATACTTTTAAGCGTCACTATATGGCCCATTAAGTGATTTAACGCATAATATAAAGAGGAAAAAAAATCCAAAGTTGAGAGAACCTCGGCATCCAGCAGACCGCCGAGGCTAACCGCAGCCAGGGCTAATCATAGCCCATCTGCAGCAGCCCTCTCTCTGCATAGCTGTATGTGAAGTAATGATGGTGATTTTTTTTGTTTTACTTGGCAATGGCTGCGCTGGATTGGTAACCTGTCCATGGTGTACCTTGCCTCTCGTCCATAGACAGCTGGAGATGGGCACCAGCACCCCTCACGACCCCACTTGGGATAAGCATGATGGAAAATGAATGGATTGACTTGGAAAAATGTTAATTTGATTTGTGTTTATCTGACTTTGTTCATAATCCCCCCAATAAATCAAAAAATTATTTATCTAGAGAGCATTAATAGGAGGTGAAATGCAGCTCAAGACGAGCTGAGCATGTGGTGACGTCACGGGTGCGCATTTGCTCCAATTGGCCCATATTCATAATTTATTTTTAATGGTCCTCCAGCATTCATAACATGTAGGCTAATCACTGTCCCCCAGACATCCGAGGTTATATTTTTTTA